ACCGTGATGAAGGGGGGTCCTGCTGTTACCAGGCTCAGTGGTAGCAGCTCAAGCCAGCAGTTAGGTTTCCTTCAAGACCCCAGCAGACGGCGTTTGCTTCTGCCGCTGGGATCCGATGGTCTGCGTGGTCTGTGTGAAGTCTATTTTTCGTAATGCATGTTGTAAAATGTGCCGAAGATGATGAAGGCACACACTTTTTACTTATTTTTTTAAATTTTTTTAGACACACACAAGTCTCCGAGTTGTCATTTGACAAACCGGGCTGGCTGTTAAGAGTCCCTGTGTTTAAATGCGTGGGTTATACTAACTAACATTCTGGGAGAGGGTGCTTTTTAAAAAAAAATCTGTTCGTGTTAAAAAGGGCGCAGAGATTCTTTTATTCTAAAGTCGAGAATTTGTTATGGGATATTATATAATTATGAGGTTTATGGGGGGGTGGGGGAAAAGTGTGACTGACGTGAAAAGAATGAAAACTCCAAAATAATGAAATGACAACCTACCCGTGTTAATGATATTCTTTGGAAAATTACTGTTTACTTAAGAGGCATCTAAAAATAAAGGCTAGAAAGGACGATTTGTGCCGTGCTTCTGCTGAGCAGCTGTGTCGGTGGCTTTCAAAACGAGGCTTCGTCTCCCAGCAGCAGGTTAGGTACAAGCGTGTATTCCACGTCCCTTCAGCCTGTGAATGCCTCTAGGTGTTTTAGCTTTCCCTGTGAATAGGAAGGGATACTAAGTTATTTAAGGAAATTGCTTCCTTCCTTCCTTCTTCTCTCCTTCCTCCTCCCTTCTTTCTCCCCCCCAACCCCCCTTTAATAGACTAGAGGCCCAGTGCACGAAATTTGTGCATTTGAGGAGGGGTTCCCTGAGCCTGGCCTGCTCCCTCTCACAGTCCGAGAGCCCTCGGGGTTGTCTGAGTGTGGGGAGCGGGCCTAAGCCAGCAGTCGGACATCCTCAGCGCTGCCGCTGCTACGCTTGTTCTGAGCCCGGCTTGTGGCTGAGGGGCGCTCCCGCTGTGGGAGAGAACTGACCACCAGGGGGCAGTTCCCGCGTTGAGCATCTGCCCCTTGGTGGTCAGTGCGTGTCATAGCTACCAGTCATTCTGCCATTTGGTTGATTTGCCTATTAGCCCTTTACTATATAGGGTTGTCTTCATTTGGAGGATTCTGATAGGCAAACTGCTATATCTGTATTCAAAATTGGTACTAGGGATAGAAAGAGGAGAACGGCACAGTGCACCTCGTACCAGGCAGAGCACTCAGAGCAAAGGTGCGTAAAGGTGTCCCTTTCCATGGAACAATCAGGGCGGTTCCCCTGTCACTGGATTCTCCATTTGCATGATTATCTTTTTCATCTTTTTCATTTGTGGGCTGATAAAATGGTGAGCACAGCAATCTGAAATCTGTGTAACTAGTATGTGAGTGTATTACAGACTCCAAGAAATCTTGCAGGGAACCAAAGCCTGTGAAAATCGGCTCATTTTAGTAAGGACCTCTTTTTTCTTTTCTTTTCTTTTTTTTTTTTTTTAAACTTTATGGAATACAAGGGACACTCACAGCATATAGACACTTTCTAGAAAAAGCTTGGTTTAGAAGGTTCCTGTATTAGAGACTTTAAATATTTAAAGTCTTCATTAGCATATCAGGCTAACTTAAAAAAATTTTTTTTATTAACTGGACTTTTTTGGAGGAGGGTAGCACAGAACAAGAATAAATTTAAAATTCCCAAAAGCCAATTTTCAGGGAAAGTGTTAGAGACAGTAAACATGTCGTCTAACTTCATCCTATATAATAAAAGGCTAATATGCAAATTTGCTGTGATGCACTGTGACCACCAGCTCCACGCAGGAGCTGCCCCCTGGTGGTCAGTGCACTCCTACAGGGGGTGCGCAGCTTAGCCAGAAGCCTGGCTCATGGCTGGTGAGTGCAGCAGCAGCAGCAGCAGCGGTGGCAGGAGTGCTAAGGATGTCCAGGCCTAAGCCCTCAGTCGGACACCCCATGAGGGCTCCCAGACTGCAAGAGGGCGCATGCTGGGCTGAGGGACTCCTTCCTACCCTCCTGCCCCAGTGCATGAATATCGTGCACCGGGCCTCTAGTGTATTCATAATACAGTGAAGAATAATGTCCATATTAAATTTGAGGCACTACAGAAACTTCATCCTTCAAAGAAAGACCCAGCTATATTCAGTAGCCCGTCTTAATTGAGGTCAGACGCTGTGGTTAATACATACAGGACGGAAAATCCTTGGTTCTCCAAGATCTGGCCATCAGCCCTCCTCTCCCCTCACTTGTAAGACTGCCAAGGCGAGAGCAGGCAGGGCAAGGAGGTATAGATCATGGAGGGCTTCGGACAGGGCATTGCAACGATGCTCTTCGCAGCGGCCACTGTGGACGTTGTTTTGGGTAACGGCATCGGACACAGGCATGGCGACGGCAGCACGGACAGTTTTCCCCCCAGCCTCTCCGTTTTCCCAGGCGGACCGGCTCAGTGTTTCCTTCACCATTTCCCCTACTCCCACTCCTGACCTTTGACTCAGCAGAGCTTCGTGTCTGGGAACCTTTTCCCCTCCACAACCATGTATACGCACAGCAGTCTTAGGAAAGCGATGCCATTTTTATCGATAGCTTTATTCTTGAGAAATATAAATGTGAAACGGGTTATTCACTGAAGTCTGGCAGGCAGTAAATGGAGGAAGTGGAATCTGACGGTCTGTATTAAGTATATTTATTTTGAGTACTGACCCCAATATTTATATGGAGCTCAAGTTCTTTATTTTATTTATTTTATTTTATTTTATTTTATTTTATTTTATTTTATTTTATTTTATTTTATTGATTTTTTACAGAGAGGAAGGGAGAGGGATAGAAAGTTAGGAACATCGGTCAGCTGCCTCCTGCACACCCCGCCCTTGGAGATGTGCCCACAACCAAGGTACATGCCCTTATCCGGAATCGAACCCGGGACCCCTCAGTCCGCAGGCCGACGCTCTATCCACTGAGCCAAATCAGTTAGGGCAAGGACAACACTATTATAGATGGTTATCCAACTATTCCTGGGAGCTCTGGTCGCCGAGCGGTGCCTCACGGGATGAGGGTACAGGATAGAGAGGCGGTTAGAGAGTGTTACTGGTGATGGTGAGAAGCAAGCCTGATGATGACACCTTAGATGACCAGCAGCGAGAGACTAATATTAGCGGGCATGTACCCACCACTTCCCATGGGCAAGTACTTTGTCAAGCACTTTAAGTGGATTAGCTTTCTGATCCTTGCAACAACCCTGTGAAGTAAGCACTTCTGTAGGATTGTTTTATAGATGAGAAAATGAAGGCTTAGGAAGGCCGTGGCAGGCGTGAGATCCTACAACTAGTAAATACTCGTTTACTGTGTAACACCATTGGCATGCAAACCCACATCAGCGATGGTGCCGAGAGTCAGGTCTGGGCATCACTGCCTCTCGGAGGTGAAAGGGAAAGCAGAGCTGGGCCCCCTCACCAGCAGTCCTTGCATTCATTCGGTGTCTGTGGAGGGTGTGTATTCCTCTCCCCAGCACTGCGCATACCATCATTGAAGTAGGGAATACTGGTACAGGACAATCATTGATGTTCCTAAGGATGATCTCAAATTACCAAAAGATGATGAAGTTGCAGTTATATAGATGATGTGTTACAGAACTGGACACTTGAAACATGTTATTGTTAACCAGTGTTATCCCCAATAAGTTTAATTTAAAAGAACATCGACTGTATATGAGAAAATAAAATAAAGTGAGATTATACTTGATATAGTACTTCATTTACTAATCCAAAATTGCTTAACTTAGATATTTATCAGACATTGATTTTAGAGACTTTAAGTGCACTTCAGGTTGCTTTTTTTTTTTTTTTAATATTTTTTATTGATTTTGTACAGAGAGAAAGGGAGAGAGAGAGTTAGAAACATCGATGAGAGAGTCATCGATCAGCTGCCTCTTGCACACCCCCTACTGGGGATAAGCCCGCAACCAAGGTACATGCCCTTGACTGGAATCGAACCCGGGACCCTTCAGTCCCCAAGCCGATGCTCTATCCATTGAGCCAAACCAGTTTCGGCCAGGTTGCTTTTTTGTTGTTGTTGTTAATCCTCCTCTGAGGATCTTTGGTCAGTGGATTTTTTTTTTTTAATCTTCACCTGAAGGTATTTTTTCCTGTTGACTTCAGAGAGTGGAAGGGGTGGAAGAGAGAGAAATACATTGATGGGAGATAGTCACATCGATTGGTTGCCTCCTGCAAGTGCCCTGACCATCGCTGGGGGAACAAACCTGCAACTCAGGTACGTGCCCTTGGCTGGAATTGAACCTGTGATCCTTCCGTGCTTGGGCCAGTGCAACCACTGAGCAACACTGGCCAGGGCACAGGTTGCTTTTTGGCAGAGACCTTGATGTATTTCATGGCAAGTTCAGATTTTGTTAATTCAAGCATTAGATCATTCTATCCCCTCAGGATACTCAACAGTACTTTAATAAAATTGGTAAAAGTCGACCTACAAATCTGTTTCTAGCAGTTTACATTTTTTTCCATATTTTTAAATCTTTGTAGACATTTTCATAATTGTAGCTTCATATACTTCACATATGTGCATGTTTTTCGTACTCATTGTCTTAATAATAATATTTTAGTATATTTAGTATATTTGCATATAATTGATATTGTATAAATCCCTTTGTTATTTTTTTATTATTGAAAATACATACCTTTGCATTTCTTGCTATCCCATAGATGATAATGATAATCTTCCCATTAATAATTGTTGATTTTATTTTAGGATAAATTTCCATGAGTGAGATAGCTTATTCAGATGAATATTTTTATCATATCTTGTATCATAGGATTTTAAGCATAAGTCATAAAGATAAATTCAGAAGTCACACAACCTCATTTTTAGGCAGCTATACTCTGTCAGATCTTGCTTTGTGACTAGGAAGTCAATTATTACAGCAAATAACTATGGCTTTTGTTCTTTTTACAGTTCCTTCCCTTGTAGTCTGCCAAGAGGATTGATGAGCCATAGATTCATACATTCAGAAGCTGAATACCGACACTTGAACTAGGTTCACTTTTGGCGTAAGTGTTTGCTAACCCTTACATCATTTAGAGCCGAATAAAGAGTATTGGGTAGAATTATTTCAGTTATGAATATGATATGTATAGAATTATTGAAACATTTATAAAAAGGTAGTATTTTAGTTGGAATTAAAGAAATATATGAGTAAATACTTCATTGGCAAAAATAAGTAATTATAAATTATTACATCATTCTAAGTTAATTGCTTACCTCATTTTATATATATTAGTGGCCTGGTGCATGAATTTATACACCAGTGGGGTCTCTCGGCTTGGCCTGTGGGATCAAGACAAAACTGGCTCTCCGACATCCCCTGAAGGGTCCCAGATTGCATGTGGGTGCAGGTCAGGCCAAGTGAGAGGTGGGGAAGGTTGGCAAGCTGGGGAGGGGCTGGGGGAGGATTCTAGGACTTGTCTGGCCCATCTTACTCAATCCTGATTGGCTGGACCCCAGCAGCAAGCTAACCTGCCGGTCAGAGTGCCTGCCCCCTGGTGCTCAGTGCACATCATAGCAAGTGGTTGAGCAGCCTTAGCATATATCTATTACATATTATGCTTTGATTGGTTGAATGGCCGACCAGTCAAATGGACACTTAGCATATTAAGCTTTTATTATATAGGATGTCATTGCTATCTGCCTATTATGCTACTTTTTCACTATGCGTTTTCTTATATCAGCTACTCTATTACTTGCTGTATTTTGATAACTGTTGTATTAGTTTTTGCTTTGATAACACAAAAGTTCCCATATCTTAGTAGCTTACAACAATAAACATTTATTTATTTTTTGTCTATGTCATATACTTCTGTGGATGGGCTGTCGTTCTTAGTGGCTTGATTGGACTCGGTTTAGCTCACATGGCTTCTCATTTGGGAATCCAGGTTAAAGGGCAGCCCTACCTGGGTCTTGATATTCTGATGGCTGATGGCAGGAATGTGGTGAGAAGCATGAATCTCATTTAGCTGCTTCATGAAGGTGGCAAGCATGCTGTCTGGTCACATCTCATTGGTCAAAGTCCATTACCTGGCCAAGCCAAAAATCACCGAGTCGGAGACCTACACTCACCCCATAGAATTCCCAGGCCAGTCCCAGGGACATGGATGGGTTATATGACAGGAAGGGTTGGGATAATCCCACCTTTGATGCCATCACTGACTTAACTCTTCCCTTCTGCTTTGGTAGTTGGATTGCTTCTAATTTTAACACGTATAAATAGCATTGCTCTCAACGTTGTTGAGCAAATTACATGTATTTACTTGGAGAGTATTTCTGGGGATATGGTTTCCAAAGTTGGCTTTCTGGGTCAAAGGGCATGAATTGCTGGTGGATCTTATTACAGATGGCCAGATTGCTCTCCCGAAAGACTGTTGGTTTATAGTACCGTCATTAATATTTAAGTATACAGCCTACCGCATATCCTCCTGGCGCCGGGTTTTACCACTTTCGTTTTGTTAGTTTCATCGTTTGCAGCTTAATTTTCGTCGTGAATGATGATGGTATTCTAAAATGAAAACTATCAGAACAAATTATATTGTTGTTTGTCTATGAGTGAATAAAACCATTTTCTTTTGTTGTTTCCGAAAGTCATTATAAAATGATTCGTTTTTACCCTTTCTTTGTTTCCTTGGCCCCCTATTTTTCTCAGTATGCTGTTTCCTAAATAGATTGTTATCCAGACTCTAAGACAAAAACAATGAAAAAAAGTAAAAATAAAGCTTGACTTGAGGTTTTGTAATTTTTATCTGAATGAAATCCTAAATTTTTACTGTAGACCTGGATAAGTGACTGAACCCATTCAGATTGCTGAATTTTGTTGCATGTTTTCAAGCCTTAGGAAAGGGGATTTATTTATTGTCCTCTTGCCTAACATTTAATGGCTTTAATTTCATGGTTTTCAGATTCACCTATGGCTATATGGTTTATATAGCAGAAAAGATCAACTGAAACTTAAGAACCAGTCTTTCCTACAGTTTCCCCCCTCCAACCGTAAACTAAAACTTTTTATTACCAACTGTATCCTCTCATGGGCTTACTTTACAAACTGTCATGCTGCCTGCTGCTACGGTTGTCTTTGGCCTCTGCTTAGAAAGAGTGGAATCTAGACATTCCCATAAGGATCCCTGGTTTTGTTTCCTCGTGTGAGGCTTTGAGACCTCACAGTGAAGGCAAAATCACTTGCGAGGGAGATAAGAGAAATCTTCAGGCCTGGAGGCAGAATGGGGTGGAGTGGTGTGTGTGTGTGTGTGTGTGTGTGTGTGTGTGTGTGTGTGTGTGTTGGCAGGGGAAGTGGTGCTGGCCTTTGGGAATGACAGTTGGATTTTGCAAGTACCGTCGGAGTGCAAATGCCTCCCACCTCATTTAGCGGAGGAATGCCAAAAATCCTCGGAACTGAGAAATCCACTCTGTGTTTTGTGAAACAGACTGGTAAGAGCTTGTAAGAAATATTACAGCTCAGTGGGAAGCAAGTCCAACTGTGCGAGAAGCAAGTCAGCGCATGAACCAGACATCAGTGTGTGAACTAGAGTTTATCTGAACAGTAGTTGCCGATGGCAGAATGTTTAAGAGGTGTGTTTAGAGTGTTCACAGTGTGACTGGGAAGACTCCTCTTAGTGTTGAGGAGTTATGAATTTGGATCCATTTACCAGGAATGTCTTTGGTTTTTTTGCTCCTGAAGCGGTTTCTTATCTCAATTTAAATGTCATTTTGTATAAGTCTTCGTAGAATTTGTTGCAGATTTTAATTATTTTTTGGACCACGAGGACCCATTGTTTATGAAGTTGGGGAAAACTGGATTCTGAGGCTCCAAGTAAGTGAGAATGAGGATGCTTTCTGTGAACATAGAAGAAAGCAAGTAAGTTCGGAACAGGAGCTTCTGGAATGCAGGGCAATAAAGACGATGCTTGTTCATACCCAGTTGTTACATATCTAGGATGAATTTGTAAAAAGGAGGTTACTACTGAGCTCTTCTCAAAGGTTGTCATGTGCATTGTAAATGTTTCTTGAACTGCTAATAGTTTAAAGACAAAAGAGGTGCTTATCCCTGTGGTGTGTTTCACTTCACTGATTTTTTTTTTATTAAATATATTTTATTGATTTTTTACAGAGCGGAAGAGAGAGGGATAGAGAGCTAGAAACATCGATGAGAGTCATCGATCAGCTGCCTGTTGCAGCTGCCTCTTGATCAGAACCCCCCCCCCCCCACTGGGATGTGCCCACAACCAGGGTACATACCCTTCAGTCCGCAGGCCGACGCTCTATCCACTGGGCCAAACCGGTTTTGGCTCACTTCACTGATTTCTGTATGTTGGGGGAGTTGAGGCAAGGGTGTAACATGTATGTGTGTGTGACTTTTAGGTCTGGGGTGGATGCTCCCAAATATGGGACCTTGTCCAGTGTTGCCCCAAATCAGACAGTGTTACCTGGTCTACTCTCTGGACTTTTTCATTTCTTTTCCATTTTTTTTTTTTCCTGGCCTGTAAATTGGCCTACCTGTAGAGTCACTTATATAGTGCTGTGGTCTGAATGTGCCCCACCCCAAATTCAGATGTTGAGATCCTAATCCCCAGGGGTGAGGGTATTAGGAAGGGGATGTGTGCGCGCTTGCGCACCTGTGAGTGATTTGAGAGGTGATGAGGGCTTGAGGGTGGAGCCCTTGGGAATGGGATTAGTGCTTTTATAAAAGAGACCCTAGCCCCGCAGAACCCCCTGGCCCCATCTGCTATGTGAGGGCATAACTAGAAGTCTGCAACCCAGAAAAGGGTCCTCACCCGTGTTGGAACCCTGCTCTTGGACTTGCAGCCACCAGAACTGTCAGCAGTACGTTTATGCTGTTTATCCACTGCCCAGACTGTGGCGTTTCGTTACAGCACGTATTCCAAGTACCATATGGAATGAGATGCGGAGCTTAGCCCACTGGGTCACTGTCTGGCAGAACGTGATTGTGGTCTAGGACTACTGGACTCTTGTAACCTGTGTCCGTCTGGCTCTTTCACTAACATGGACTCTTAAATGCAACCAACAGCTTTGTAGATATCGGACAGGTTTGTGATACTGTAATGAGTACGTGTCGGTAGACGTCCATGAGTTGTTGGGGCTGTTTATAGGGAGGGCAGGGGTAACGCCTGCTCACTCCCCTCAGGCCTCCTGGCTGCAGGTCCCCCAGGGACGCCTCTGTTTGGCTGGTGTGCTCGGCTGTCAGACACAAGTGCCTTTTGGGGGTAGCCATCTTGTAAGGGACCCATCACCTTCTCTCCTTGCTGCTTTGATCACCTTGGCTTCATCAACACATACTTTGATGGTGATTAGGTGCCCATAATATAGAGATTAGGATCTCTCATTCTTGGGCAGCGGAGTGGGGGGGGGGAGGTGTGAAGAGAACAAGTTTTAAAAACCACCAGACTGGCCAAAAACAGTTTGGCTCAGTGGACAGAGCTTTGGCCTGCAAAGGTCCCAGGTTTGATTCCGGTCAAGGGCATGTACCTTGGTTGTGAGCACATCCCAGTAGGGGGTGTGCAGGAGGCAGCTGATCAATATTTCTCTCTCATTGATGTTTCTAACTCTCTATCCCTCTCCCTTCCTCTCTGTAAAAAAATCAATACTATATATATATATATCCCCATCAGACTGCATTTGGCTGGCATACTGTAAACTTGGCTTAACTATGTACCCCAGCTGCCTTTTAGATTTTTCTACCTGATTGGTTGTGTTTGGCGAGGTGTTCTATGCTCCTGTGAAATCCAGTCTGTCTTTTAGCTATATGACTGTTTGGAATCCTGGATGTACCTTCCGGAAGGAAATATTGTTCTACTGATAGGATTTTTTTGGTTAATAAAAAGGAATGCTAAAAAAAAAAAAAGGAAAAAAAGAAAAGAAAAGAAAAAGTTAAACATGTAATTAATGTTTGCAGACTCCCTGAATAGGTAGCCCAAAGAGCAATGCATGCAGTAGACTAAGCCTCATTTTATTCCAACAGGCAGGATGGCTCAGTTCCCTGCATTCA